ACAACTAAGGTATTATATTGGGAGGGGTGTATGGGGTTACAGCCCTTGAATGCAGAAATGCTCCTTAGCCTTCCCTTGAAAAGAGCTCATCTCCTTTTCATTGGCTAAAGTTATATATATTGGGGGTCAGTTCCACCCCCCATGTCTGTGTTGCTTGGCCAAACTTAAAAGCTTTAGCAGACGGAAAATGCCTCACTGATAGGTTCCAGATCTCCAAAAGGAAGCAGCAATGAAGGCTGACAAGAGCCCTATAAGATGCGATCTCAGATCCTGTTTGGAAATTGGAACAGGCCATTATCTACATTCCATGTTTTAATTAAAAAGAGAAGACATCCCTTTAACTACACCTGCATGTTATATAAAGCACTCAGGCGCCAATTAAGAAGGAGACAGATGGAGACAGGTAAGGCGTGTAGAGCGTAATTTTACAACATGGGCTCCTTCAAAAGCAATTTAAATTCACCTGGAGGAGGAAAAGCATCTCTTTAAGGAAGGGAACATATTATGGCACCAAAAAGAAACTCTGAGCACGCAGCTGTTAAACACCTAATGTTCTTGATGCAAGCCTAGCAACTCACATGGCAATAATTGCCCATGAAATTCACCATGGGCAAAGTCCCAACTGGAGAATTTGGAGCACTTAAGTACTCCTGGAGTCTTACTCATCTGCAGATGGACAGTATTTTAAGAGCTGATACCTTATGCTACATTTTAAACTCATGTCTGCAAGCCCACAAGTCATTATATGACTTGATTTACAAGCCCTTTCCAGAAATGATACCTTAGCGTAGCAGGAAGTGCCATTCTTACCCATTCATTCTCAGAATCTGAACCATATCCTATCCATCACAAATATATATATATATATATATATTATTAGTTGACTATAAGAACAACATATAATCAAATACAAGCAATCAAATACAGTTTTCCCCTACGCCCCCCCCCAAAAAACCCAGCCCCAACTACGTCCAGGTAATTACATTAGTAATATAATCAAATGAAAAATTATTTCTACAGTTGCTGGTTTAAAAAATATCATTCCACATGCTCCTGTGTGTCTTAGGTGGTTTAAATGCATGTTCTTTCTTTGATGCATATGTAACAAAGGAGGACCACGTTGTGTAAAAGTTATGTAGTTTCCCATGTTGTTTTCTTTCACGCACCCTTTCTGTTAACTTTTCCATCAAAATTAATTCCCAAACATAAGCATAAAGGTAAAGGACCCCTGACCTTTAGGTCCAGTCGTGGCCGACTCTGGGGTTGCTGCGCTCATCTCACTTTACTGGCCAAGGGAGCTGGCGTACAGCTTCTGGGTCATGTGGCCAGCATGACTAAGCCGCTTCTGGCGAACCAGAGCAGCACACGAAAACGCCGTTTACCTTCCCGCTGGAGTGGTACCTATTTATCTACTTGCACTTTGACGTGCTTTCAAACTGCTAGGTGGGCAGGAGCAGGGACCAAGCAATGGGAGCTGACCCCATCATGGGGATTCGAACCGCTGACCTTCTGATTGGCAAGTCCTAGGCTCTGTGGTTTAACCCACAGAGCCACCCGCATCCCAGACATAACCATACTAAACTTCATATATTGCGAAAACAGAATGCTGGACTAGATGGACCATTGGCCTGATCCAGCAGGGCTCTGTATACGTTCAGCATGGCCAATGTTCAGGGGAGATGGGAGTTGCAGTCCAAGAACATCTGGCAGGTCACAGGTTCCCTATCTATAATATACTGGCTCCAGTGCTGGAGGTTCTGTATAACCAGCATGACAATCAGTCAGAGGTATAGGAGGAATACAGATCATTTTTGCACTTTAATACAAATCAACCCAATCTGCACATCCAGAAACAATATGAAAGCCAATCCTTTGAATTAGCACAACTCCAAATTTGCAATGCAATAAATGATGTGCATAAAAATTATGTGAGTGAAAATTTCAAATGAAAAGAAAGTATATTGGGGGAAGCTGCTTGCAAAAAAAGTATCTACGTATAGGGAAAACGACACACAAAAAATGTGTGTATTAGGGAAAAGGCTGCGCTTTAAAATGCTGATACATTTTAAATTTTATTTTAAAAACCACTAACTGAAGTAGGAACAGAGTGAACTGGACTTCAGGTCAGAAGAATGAAAGAAAGATTGAAAGTGAAATTGACAGATTTGTGCGTCCCTAGTAGTCAACGATTCCATTCTTCTTTCAGTAGAATGGCTCCCTTTCAAAAGTGGGAAATGAAACACAATAGGCAGATCTTTGAAAAGGGCCCATTCATAAGAGCCAAGGACTTTGGCTTTCCGAATAGCAAACTAGGTGAAAGAGCCCAGTCTGTTGTAGCTGCTGTTTTTGAATGGGGAACAATGTGTGATCTGGCATGTCTTTGCAAGAAGAATGTAGAACAATTTGGAAACTGCAAACATCTTTTCATTGCAATCATTGTATAATCTGTCTTTGCAGCTAAGTATCCCAAACATGAGAAATATCCCAAACTGGAACCAGAGTGGGTTTATTTGATTAATTGACTGAACATGCATATCTTTCCAAATGAAAATAATTAATTCTCAAGGGGAAAAGAACTTTGGTTGGGCTGGGGGATGCTGTGGTCCTCCAGTTGTTGTTGCGATCCAAGTTCCGTTAGTCCCAACCCGTCTGCTCCATCTTCAGAGGTGATGGGAATAAGAAACCAACTAAATCTGAAGGGTCATATATTTCCCACCCCACCCATATTTTAGATGATTCCCACACATATTGCAGCAGGGGGCCTCTTAGAGTAATGCCGTATTTCTTGAGTCCAACTCAGATTCCAAACACTGCTGATTCACGGGAGGCAAGATTTTCCCCCAGTCTTGCTGTTGTGCTCTTGTCAAGCTTTCCACGAGCATCTGGCCAGTCACGGTAAGAACTGGAGGCTAGACCAGAAAAGCCACTGGTTTGATCCAGCAGCCTTGTCTTATGATCTTAGGCACATAGAACCCATCTCTCTATGACTAAGGGCGGGGGAGCCTTTTCGAAGATGATACCTAGAATCCAGAGTTTGTGTAAATACTTGCTTATTTATTTATTTGCTGTTATTAGCTATTTACTTCATAAAACATGATCTCCAGGTGCCACACAAAACAAAACCTTCACAATGATGCAATTTTTAAACTCCAAAATGAATTTTTAAAAATTCTTTTTTAAAAAAATCTGGGTGAACCTCAGGACATTTGACAACATGCATACATGGAGGAAAGCTTACCTTAATATTGTAGTTATAATCTGCCTCTCCAGTTGATCCTTCCCAAGAGGGGAATTGTAAAATATAAAAAACAATAAAAGCCACATTATTATACTGTTTTTTTATTATTAGTTGAGAAGCAAGATTAAAAATAACCTTTTTGGAAGATTCTAATTTTTCATATTTACTTCTCTTTCCTATTTTGGCAGCTGAACTGAAAAATCTGTACCTAATTGGATTTATGATGCACAAATATCTGTAGGTGATAGCCAAAATACTAATGCATGAAGTGGGTTTGTGAAGAGATCTAGGGACACCAAGCAACTTTTATGAAGCATGGCATATTGAGAGCCAGTGCGGTGTAGTGGTTAAGAGTCTCGTAATCTGGGGAACCGGGTTCGCGTCTCCGCTCCTCCACATGCAGCTGCTGGGTGACCTTGGGCCAGTCACACTTCTCTGAAGTCTCTCAGCCCCACTCACCTCACAGAGTGTTTGTTGTGGGGGAGGAAGGGAAAGGAGAATGTTAGCCGCTTTGAGACTCCTGAAGGGGAGTGAAAGGCGGGATATCAAATCCAAACTCTTCTTCTCTTCTTCTTCATATATATTTTTACTTCTTATAGAAACAATATTGAAATTTAGTACCTGCCATCAAAGGCTGTAATAAACATCAGAACCTGTAGAAAATTGAAATTAAGGGTGGTCTTCATCTAAGTCCCACTCAGATTCATTGAATTTAATGAACTTAAGTTAATCATGTCCATTAGCTTCAAAGAGTCTACTCTGAGTAGGGCTAGCACTGGATACATCCCACTCTTTTTTATAGTAGATCATGTGGTTATCTATTGTTTTCCTTCTGTCAGGTATCAGCTATGATATATAATCTTTCACTTTTGTGTCTTCTCCTTGTTTACAAATAACCATCCATGTGTACAAATCACCCATGACATATGTGAAATCATAAATAATCATAATAAGGCTATGTAATTGTTCATTATATTGAAAATCATTATGTTTTAAAACCTAATAAAAAATAAAACAAATGCCAGGACAAAATCCAGAAAACCATTAAATAGATTAGTGTCCCAGGAAGACGTGTAGGACTGTATGAATTGTTGGAGCACCGTGAAAGAAAGCAATGTCTGCTGTGCTAAGATTTCACAGACCTCTTTAAGGCAAGGATAGCGAACCTGTGGCGGCCTAGATCTTGTAGAATGACAACTCCCAGCATCCCTGACTATTGGCCATGCCAGTTAGGGCTGATGGGCAATGGAGTCCACCACTGTCCGGAAGACCACAGTTTCCCCATCCCTTCTGTAAAGGAAAGATCACTGTATTTTTATTTTGATAAGCGCTATTTATGAAGACAGTGCTATTCCCATCTGGAAGCGTATCTTATTTTTAACCAACGTCGTAGTCTTTTTATACAGTGTCGTCTGTCGATTGCCTGTTTTACCGTATTGGCCCAAACATAAGCCACACTTCCCTCCCCAAAAAATTCTGACCGTGAAAAGTACGGCTTAAATTTGCGACCTTACAGAAATGGGCTTTTACAATATCGCTGTAGGGTTTTCTTCTACATTTGCCATTTACGGGTGTGAGTGCCTGCGGAATTATAAGGGAGCGGCTTATATTTGGGTATTTTCCCCCCCCCTTCAATTTTAAAGGTGCGGCTTATTTGTGGGTGCGGCTTATATTCGGGCCAGTATGGTATTTCAAAGGTTGTTGGGTTTTCCTCGCTGACTCTTAGCTGATGTTGCTTTCCCTTTCCTTTTTCTTTAACCAGCTGACAAGGTCAATGACGACTTCTACTCCAAACGGCGCCATCTCTCGGAGTTCGCCGCAAAGGGAAACCTGCCCCTCCACCCGGTGCATATGGAGGACGAACGCCCACACATCCTCGAGGGCGGCACCATGAAACACAACGGGCAGAAGTCGAAAGCCTCCAAGCCACACATGCACCCTTTAGCGTACAAAACCTGGGACCCTAGCGACCAGTCCCTCCGAAGGCATGCCTATGCAACCAAAGGGAGGAACCTCGCAGGTGATCCGGTGGGGAGTGATCCACTCACGACGCGGAGTCAGCATTACTTACCCACACAGCCATACTTCATCACCAACAGCAAGACAGAAGTGACTGTTTGAGACCAACTTTCTTCTTACTCTTTTTTTTTAATTAAAAAAAACAACAAGGGGGAAAAACACAAACACAACTGGAAGAGATAAGATCAAAAGCTCGGAACAAGGAGAGGTGGACATTCCTGGTGGAGGGGAGGCGGTGGTTCCTGGTTAAGGTAGCCAGCTATGAGCCGAAGATTGGGTTAGCGCTATATAGCAATATACACCGAAGGTTGTTTGAACTCCATTTGTATTTTACACTGGAAACCAACCCCTTGGGACTGAACCTTTCTTTCTTTCTTTCTTTCTTTCTTTCTTTCTTTCTTTCTTTCTACTCCAAATTCAAATCCATGATGAGAAGTAGCACAATCTAGAGACACCATCCATCAGCTTAAGAACTTTTTCTGCAACGTCCCTGCCTTGGGCTAGATGGGCATCAACGCAAAACGATACATAAGGGTGGGAGGGACATTGTGAAGTTCGGGGCTTTCTTTTGTACAAATTTTAAGATCTGTGGAGAAGAAGGGGAAGCTGAAACAACGAGCAAACGCCTGGATAGAAATCCTTACGTTTTAGTGTTTCCTTTTCTTTTTGTACCGTCACTAAAGAAGCAAGCAAGCAAGCAAGCAAAAAATATCTATATACATACAAACATAAGAAAAGACTCACGCGAAACCTGTGAAGACTGTTACAGTGACAAGCATATGGAGACTTTCTAGGAAGTGGAAAGCTCACACGAGAGATGATTTTAGCCCCCACTTTTATGTCTTACATTTTTCAGGACTTTTCAGGGGGTGGGGGTAGGGCCAGAAGAAGCAGGATGTTGGTGGGGATTCTTCACCCCAGTCTAAGCTGCCCTATCTATGGGCAATGAATAAAGCCAGTTGCTCTTCAGCCAGTTCCAAATTTTTCTTACCCTGATTCCCTCTCCTCCGTTTCCTGTTACTTTGGACTGAAGATAAATAAGCGTGGGTGGTGCCTTTACTGTATTGCTAACGTTTAATGATCGTCTTGTTTTTAAAGTGAAACCTGTACCAACTTACGATTCTTTCCTCATGTGTGGGACTCAACCAATCAGGTGTCCTTCCGTCCATTTTGCTGCCAAGAGAGAACATGTTTTACTGATGTGTCGTGTTTTTGCCAGGCCAGAAGTTGCTCTCCTGGCCTGCCTCTTCGCCTATTGAAACAATCTCTCCCTGCCTCAAATCTCCCCAGTATGAAGATTACTAATGTGGTATCTTCTCGAAGTTGCTGAACTTCAGTTCTTATCAGCCTCAGCCCAGCATGGTGGATATTCAGGGATGATGGGAGCTGTAGTCCATCATCATCTGGAGAACATCACGTTGGCTATCCTTGGCTTTCAACCTTTCATTCCATCTTTGCATTTATGCCAATGTTCCTTCGTTAACTTCTTTTCAGCCTTTATCTCCCTCTCCCCCCCCCATATGGTTAATCCCTTTTAAAAGGTCCATATGTTTTAAAGGGAGCATCACATGCTACCATTTCCCATAAAGGAAGCCTGCATGTAAAAAAAAAAGAAAACAATATATTTTTATTAGTTTCTCATTATTGATATGCATTTGTTCATGCTAATATACCCATCTAAATGTGAGGCATGCTACTCCTGGGATGATAAAGGACATTTGGATCAAGGCCGAGGTTGAACAAGCATGCAAGAGTTGTGTCTGCACGCTTGGGAGCCAATGAACTGAAAACATAAGATTTTTACAATCACTGTGCACTAAACTCCGCCACTCTCCGGAGAAAGCAAAACTCAATCACATCAGGGATGATGACAGCACCTGGCTTGTTCACGTAGCTGTTGGGGCCCAAATGCCTTGGCAGGGCCCACTGATGCTAATGATTTGCCTCCCTTCTAATGGTTTGTTTTTCCTTCCTTTCCTTCATACATGTCCCATACTTGCTCATTGCATCTGCACACCTGTGGCCCATGAGTGATAGGGAACGAGAGGGAGGTGTTTTCGTGGTGCTGGGAGACTGCTACAAGCATTGTTAGGGGCGGCCCTGTGAGGTGGCCTGAGCCCTGGGCCTCCTTCTGTCATATATATATATATTTCCTGTAAGGTGGCAGGGCACACCGCAAAGTGCAGTGCTGCTGAGATCCCTGACACCAAACACCTTAATTTGTTTATTGCATTTATCATCACATTTATATTCTAACTTTTCTCCAAGGAGCTCAAGGTAGAACAACAAGCTCCAAGGTGGAGCTTAAGGGTCTCCTAACAACTCTCAGCATCCTCAACAAACCATCGTTCCCAGGATTTTTGAGGGGAAACCATGACTGTTTAAAGTGGTATATTGCTTTAAAAGTATAGTACAGAAGGAGCCCCACAGCCCAATGCTGGTCTCATTTAATTCAATGGAGCTTACTCCCCATTAAAAGAAGATATAGGATTGCACTGCTAGACACTCCACTCCACAAATGTGGAGGGTTTTGTTCTCCATTGCGCTTAAGTTCAGTTTATGAGCCAGCAGAAGTACAACCATACTTTGATTTATGAATATTTATTTAGAAGAATTGATATACCGTTTAATTAAAAAAAATCAGTCTATAAGCAATGTACATAAAACAAGTGATGAAAACAAGTATTTCCTATTTTATTTATTTATAACAATATAAAATAATTATCAATGCTACACAGATAAAGCCAGCAGAAGTTAAAAACAAATACTGAATTATATATCTGGATAGGCTTGTCGAAATAAAAAAGGGAGCATTTAGCAAGGCATCTAAAACAGTATAGCAAGGGTGCCTGCCCTTTGTTTTCCTGCCTGAATGATATCGATAACCTCTGTTGTGTTTTGAATGTTTTCCCCCCACCCCCGTTATGCATGGTAGTGCATCACAAAGGATAACTCAGAGCACACCCCAGCTCATGTGTGTTTAGAACTGATTTCCCTAGGCTTAAATTTGATTTTCCTGGACAAGGTCTGGATTGTGCCCCTCCATGTTCTATAAATCTTGAGTGTAGGTTTGTGCGGTAGTGGCTGTTGCCCGTTGGGACTGGTAGGGCGGAATGCAGGAAGACCAACAGTAGATGGCGCCAGAGCCAGTCAGAGCCAATGAATTCTCGCTTTGTTCCCTGTTGAGTCATAGAAGGACAATGTTAATGTTAAGGCTAAGGAGGAAGAAGCTGGTAGGCTGTGCTCTTGGATTGGCTGTAACGTAAGAAAGAGGCAAGGGGTTGGTTGGCTGGCTGGCTGGCTGGCTGGCTGGCTGAAGGCAGACTGAAGTTGGTGGGGAAGTCCCCGCCATCCACCCTAATGGACCAGCCTACATGGGGTTTGTAGAAAGTTATGATAATTATCACAGGTATTCACAATGGAGAAGATATTGCTTGAGTTGGAAATAAAGCTCTGAAAAGGGCAACGAAAATAATCAAGGAGATGGAGAAAGGTTTCAACATTTGAGATGCTGTAGTTAAGAGGAAGGCTGAGTGACATGGCAGAAGTTTATAAAAGTATGTATGGCATGGAGAAAGTAGGTAGAGAAAAGTATTTTCCCTCTCTCATAACACTAGAATTTGTGGACCTCCAATGAAGCTGAATGCTGGAAGTTTCAGGACCGATGAAAAAAGTACCGTACTTTTCCGTGTATAAGACTAGGGTTTTTTGGGGAGGGGGTGTTAAAGTATGCTAAAAAGTGGGTGTCTGTCTTATACATGGATAGTGCATAGGGTGGGTGTTTGATTGGTTGCTGCTGTGGCTGTCAGAGGCTATTGGGCTGTGTGAAGAGCTGGTGTTGATTGGCTGTCACTGCGGCAATTGGGCGGGCGATTGGCAACTTCTGCTGGCGTGTGGGTTAGCGATTTTCAGCAATTCCCTCTAAAAAAAGCTCAACAACCTTGGGCAATCCCCCCCCCCAAAAAAGTACCCTCAACAACTTTGTGCCATCTCCCCCCATTTTCTTAAATTTTAGTCCCCCACGAAAAAATACAGTATTTCTTCATGCAGCAGATAGTTAAACTGAGGAACTTGCTCCCACAGGAGGCAGTGATGCTCAGCAACTTGGATGACTGGAAGGAATTTTTTTGTTTTGGATGACTTTAAAAGATAATGAGGCAAATTCATGGAGGAGAGAGAGATAGAAGACTCCTAGACATGATGGCTTTGCTCTGCTTCTGCAGTTGGAGACTTCTGAATATCTGTTCCTGGAAACCCCAGGAGAGGAGAAGACTCTTGTGCTCAAGTCCTGCCTATGAGTTTCCCATAGGCCTCTGGCTGGCCACTGTGAGAACAGGCTGCTAGGCTAGATGGGCCCTCCAGCTGACTTTTCTTATTTTTTTATTGTTTTTACAAGATTTAGGTAAATGGTGAGGAATGTGTAATTGCCTTATCTGTAGTATACACTTAAAGCAATTTCAAACCACTTTAAAAAGCCATGGTTTCCCCCCAAAGTATCCTGGGAACTGGAGTTTGTTAGGGGTGCTGGGAACTGTTAGGGCACCCCTTTTCCCCTCACAGAGCCACATGTTTTGAGGTGATTTAACCATCAATCCCTCTTTCCAGGGAACTCTGGGAATTGTAGACCTCTGAGGGAAATAAGGGTCCCGTAACAACACTCAGTGCACCCTAGTCCACTGGATTCTTCAGAGGAGGGAAGCCATGATTGTTTGAAATGGTATGATACGGCTTTAAACGTATAGTGCAGAGAGAGCCCAAGAACAAACCAATAGTTTTCAGAAATTAGTAATAAGAGAGGGCTGGAAACTTTGGCAGAATTTCAGTCTTTCGTCGTACAGAAAAGAATTCAGTCCCCAGTTTTAGGAAATCTTTTCTCCCACTACCACCCGCCATTGTTTAACCAGAGATCTCTAAGTTTAGAAGATATAAGAGATATTTAATATATTTCAATATTTTATATATGTATATAATAAAGGCACCACTCTAAGTGGTGTACATAAAACAATGATTAGTGAAACACAGATAAAATCAGGAAACGTTAAAAAGAAGTATGCGTAACGAAAATGCTGATGAATTTTATTGAGGACTTTTATTTTTTTATAAAAGTATATTGCAAATTGATGAGGAAAAATAGTGAACTGAGTTTAAGACTGGGAGAACAAGCAGATGAAAGAAACTGAAATTGACAGTTTCACCCATCCCTAAGGAAAGTTGCCTGCCTAATTTTCATAGGCAGGGGGGTTCCAAAACATGGATTCTGCTAAACTAAAAGATTAACTCCTAGCAGATGCTGCCACACCAAAAAGATTGACTATTATATATAATAATAATTAACTTATATTTTCCCCAGTTAGCTAGTTTTTCCTGAAATACTACATATTCTCCCCAGAAATTATGAACATATAAAGCTATCTTACACTGAATCAGACCATTAGTCCATCTTAGCATTATGGACTCTGGCCATGATTCTTTGAGATCTCAGAAACAGAGAGGTGCCTCCAAATCTTTTGTCTGCTAACCTGAGAAATGCATGCTGCCATGCATTCATGGTTGAGAAAAAGACTGCCTGACTTGTTTGTGTATCCTTGGAGAATGACGAAATTCTGCACCTGAAATCAGGTTCAGTAAGCCTTTCACTGAAGTGTGCTGCTATGGGATCATCAATGACGGGTGGGGAAATTTTTTTGAGCCCACGGG